CAGAGAATTTTTTCCTCATGTAGTCTTAATATCGCCCTTCCTTTCAATAACTTTTTCCGTCCACAAGGTTTTTTGAGTGTTGCCTTGGATTTTAGTTTATCCATAGGAGATTCGGCTTTTTAAAGCCTATCGTAGTTGAAGGAAACTACTCGCAAGGAAACATTTTCGAAAAATTATATGAACAATCTCTTTCACTACAACATTATTCCATCATTTTCACAAAAAATTTTTATTCATATAAATTTAGGTTGGTATCGAGAATGCGGTATTATACCATATACACACGATATCGACTTTACGGTCTTCATCGAGGAATACTATAACAAATTTCCTGAAGATGTTATGAATAGTTCGTTTATCAAACTTAGTCTGCGATTCAACAGAGTGAGTTACAGCACAGCGTTGGTATCAGTAAGAAAAGGACAAATAAATGATGAATTAATTGGTTGATAAGGGATTTTCTGGTAATGCATGTATTAATAAAAAGGGTTCATATATAATGCATATTGATCCATTTTACTCCATTCCAGTTTTAGATTTTTTTAGCCGGAAGATCTATTGGAATACAAAGTGTATATAGAGGACAGTATTCCAATGGACATTTTCTTCCTATATCATGATCAAAACAGTTCCTGGATTGGGGGTCTATCTTATATGACTAAGTACAGGTAAGTATTTAATGACCCTTATTTCAATTCTGACCCGAATGGTTCGATAATTTGTCGCAAGTAATATTACGCATATTAAGGTTTGATAAGTTTTGAGGTTTATTTATCCGCTAATAAATCGAATTTGCGCAACTGATCTCCTCGGCTACCTGATGTACGTACCATGCAATGCTCTGGATGTTATTATGGTAAATTTTACAATTCGAGTTTGTTAGTATTTTTCCAAAAAACTCATTTCACCGTTAGCTAGTGAAAAAGAAAAAATCAAATGTATGGCCACCAAACCGGGCAGAAAAAACATCTCAAATATTGAAAAATTTTTTCCTCATTTTCAGAGTGAATATGGGAAAAGGTGGTCGGAACCGCTTCATTCCTCCAAATACGTGTGGAATGAAACCCCATTAAACAAGAAAGTGGTTGGAACCGTTCCTCCGGAACAGAGGGCGGAATCTTTCATAAAGTACGACAGATAATTAACTGATTGCACCCATAATTATGCACTTTATTCTCGCTATTATTAAACAGCCATTAGTCCAACAAAACGAGCGATCATTTCTTTCTGAATTACAGCATTTGCACCACAAAATCAGCAAAGTTTTTCATTTTTCCCAAATACTTTGCAATGTGCGAAAGATATTAAACGGTAAAAACAGCTCAAATCTCAACCGGTAAGATAAGAAAGATGAAGGTTGCGCAAAGGTTTCTCTCTCGTCATGTTTTTCAGGATATAAATGAATTCTAAACGAAAATGTCGCAGTTTATTATTGTTCATTCGCCTTTGTACTGTTGTCTTTCAATATTAATACTTTCCTTTAATTCTATTTTTGAACATTTAGTACTTGCACGATTAAAATAAAGCATCAAAAAAAGTAGTTAAAGCCATTAAACATTATGATCATTGAAAAAAAAAAGAAAAATGAAAGTGAACTAAAGAAATGTGACAAAGAAGAATTAGGAGAGGAGACGGCACTGTTGCGTTCTGACATAAAAAAAAAGAGCTCGGGCTACATTACTCTTGCTTTGCTTCTTGCATCAAATGATGTTTAGTGCATTAAAGTACATAAACTGGATTGCGAAAATTCTCTGATAAACTTCTAGTGTTCCTAGTATGACTTCTTTTTATGCAAATTTTTAAGTTGGTATGGATAATCAAAACGTTCCTGCAATAAAAACTCTTATCTGATTGGATGTTTAACTGGAAGCGTTGCTATTACTCCTGAAAATTACTCAGTGATAATGATTTGAACAAAAATTCGGAAATCATAGAACATCCCATTGGCAACTGTACTATATGAATTAATACAACTTTCAACACCAGAAAAGAGCAAAGATCTTCCATCAATTGTAGAAAACCTGGAAAGGACACTGTGGCAAATGGAAAAAGTAATATCGATTAAGCAGAATGTGAAACTAAAAGAACGTATCAAAGGGAAGGAGTTAATAAGGCCTCATTCGCCAAAAGTGATTAGAAGCAAGACAAAGGAAGATCCAGTATTGAATGCAAACAAGACATGGTTCTGCATCCTGAACTTATTGTGCTTGATGTTTTCTGGACTAGTAATGGCGGAAAATGGAACAAAATATCAAACTGTTCAACGGAAGTCATGCATGTTCTCTCCCACATGGAAAAATTATGCTTAAGAAAAGACTTAGAAAAAGACAAATCGAATAAATGTTAAATTTTCACTTCAATTTGTCCAAAATGATCACATCCGAAACAATTTGCAAAAT